CAAAAGTTAAAAAATAAAATCCCAAAACACAATAATACAATACTTAAATTATTGGTTAAAATGAAGTAATTGAAAATATTGTAACCAAAATTAAATATTCACAATAATAATATATCATGAAATAATATGACTAAAATATAAATATTAAAAATTAAATGCTAAAAACGAAATAAAGCAAAACTTCACTTAGTGGCTAATATATACAAGGACTAAAATAATAAAACTAAGAACTTAAAAGACTAATTCCGAAAACATCAAATATTTAAAGGATTAAAATAATAATTAAACCAAACAAAGAACAGTGATAAAAATTAATAACATTAAAATAACATAACTAAATTAAAACAAAACAAGGCAATGACTAAAATGATATATTTTCAAATGTTATAGCTTAATTCTAAACATCCCTAAAAATACACAAAACACTAAATTAGTGACCAAAATAAACCATTTATAAATATAATGACTAAAATCGAATATTCACATTAATAATAAAATAAACAGAAAATATGACTAAAATATAAGTATCTCTCTTTTTCTCATGCTTCTTCACCGAGAAGAATAAACGCGGCTCCCCGGCCACCGTAAATCGGTGGCCACAGGGAGCAAAACACAAGGTTGGATCTGGCTAAAGGTATGTCTCTTTTTTTCGTTCGAATCTGCCCTTTTATTTTTCTATTCGAACCCCCTGTTCGAATATCTCTATATTCTTTTCTTTCTTGTTTCATCCCCCTCCCTCTCTCTGGTTTCCATGCTTTTATAATGGAATTTTGGTTGCTGTTTTGATGGGTTTTCCACTGATATACGTATGGTGGTAGGGTATATTAGGTAAGAATACCTAATTTCTGAAATTTTAAAATCTGTTTAGTGGATGTATGATTTGGATGATAATGTCTTCTTTGTTTCGTGATTTTTGACGTAAGTGATGATGCTTAGTGGTTGTTGTTGGTACAGTGGCTCGTCGTTTCGGTGAAGAAGTGCTCGACATTTACTGTTGTGGCTGGGTTCATTGGCGGCAGCAATTTGTTCCTATCATTAGAGGTGGCTGGACTTTAGGGTTTCCAAAACCCTAGTTGAAAATGGGTCGGATCCGGGTCACGGGTCGGGTTACTGGACTCGGGTCAGATCTGCTGTTGGGTGTTGTTTGGGTCTTGAGACTTGTAATCTGGGCTCCTGATCTGCTGGGTTTTGGTGTAATGTGGGCCTGCAAACATTGTAACCAAAATTATTATTAATAATAATACTAATAATATTAATAATAATAAATATAATAATAAATATAATAATATAATATTTTTAAGCCCGGTCAAAAACGGGTGTCTACACACACCTAATGTACATGTACAATCTTAACTATTTTCAATATTAACACAATAATATATATTAAATGAGAAAAGATCTAAACTTCATTTTTAGTTCATTTGAGATATTATAGTGACAATACGTAATCTCACATATACTTTTCGATGATTCCTACGGTTATTTTTTTTTAAAATATCGAGGATTCCTACGGTTACATTATGGGGATTCTCACAGTTACAGTTCGATTATCCCTACAGTTCGGATATAACAATCTCATTTTCATCCCCATTTGAGCTTAGGGGATAAAACTTCCCCTATTCACATTCTCGTAGGTGAAGATTCGATTATTTTCCATCCCCATCTATTCAAATCCCCACGATTTTCGATTTTTATTCACCCTATGGCCACCCCTACATTTAACGAAGCTTTACGTCTATTAAAAAAAAACCAACAACAACAACAAAAAAGCTTATAGTGATGGCTAGAACTGTCGGTATATCGCCTGAGGTAATATACAGACATTTTTGGCCCAAAAAGGCAATATCGACCACATTTTAACAATAAGAAAAAAATAATCAAAATCTCAAGAGAATTGAGGTGCTATACTAACGAATTCTTTTAACTCCAGTTAATGTTTACTTTCCAAACAAAAGTTTATTTCCAAACTAAAAGTAGTGTTACCGACTGATAGCCCTAGGTTACTCCTAAAAGGTATTATATTTCTAGCATCACATGTCCCAAAATATAATCCTCATTTTAAATTAATCCTTAAACTTTTGGATATTTCAATTTCATCCTCAGTCTCATTCTAAATTAGTCCTCAAATTCTGAATTCATCCTTAAACTATGTCCCTCTTTCTAAATTGGTCTCCATACTTTTGAATATTCCAATTTCTTCCCCAAATTATCTAAATATGTAATTAGTTTCAACCATAGTTTAACGTAATTTTTTTCAAACATGTAATGATATAACTTGGTCTAACGATTTATTAACAATGGATGTGAGTAATATAAGTACTGTTCAAAAAGTTTGGAGACCAATTAAGAATGAAGGTCATAGTTTGGAGATGGAATTAAAATGTTCAAAAGTTTGAGGACTAATTTAGAATGATAGTCATAGTTTAGGGATGAAATTGGAATATTTTAAAGTTTAGGGAGCAAATTAAAATGAGGACCATACTTTGAGGTCATGCAATGCAATTAACTATTATAAAATTTCGTTTTAATCATGAAATTTTATCTCTTAACCCTTAAGAGGGTCTCCAGAATCTCCCGATTAAAGAGGACATAATTCACAGATCTTGTAATACTTATTTCATATGTCAAGTCATTATGCATAAGACCCAATCAAAAGATTTGGAGACTTGGAGGACCGAATTGAAGAGCGAGGAGAGCTTGGAGGACCAATTGGCGTGAAATGATACAATTGGTGGCAGAATGCGTTTGGTGGATTAGAATCCGTGCCCCAAACCTTGAAGGGATTGCAAATCACCCATGGCAACACCAAGCTTGGCTCGGCGGTACCCTTGGTGCTTTGCAAATCCCTTTAACCCCTGTGGGTTCTGTGGCCCTAAGCGGTCATTCTTCTCCCATTTGAATTTATCCACCAATTTTGCCTCATTGATCTTCCAAGGTTTTTCCTTTTGTCAATTTGGTCCTTCAGGTCTCCAAAATTTTCAAGTAAGCTCTCACATTGTGGCTCAATATTCAAGATAAGTACTTACATGATCTACCGATAATATCTAGGGGTGGTTATCAAGTGAGTCGATCGCGAGATAGGCAACCTCGACTCGTGCTCGTTAAAAAATTTTGTTGCTCGACTCAACTCTTTACTCGTTAAGCCCATTAAAATATTTCTTGACTAATGCTTGTTAAGAAAACTTGTTGCTCGACTCATTGCTAATTAAACTCACCAAAATTTTTATTTTATTCTTTAACTATAGGTAAAATCTACTAATATTATATAGAGCTCAATATAAACATAAATTGACAAATTTAAACAACAAAAAAATATCAAAAGAGTGTAAACAAATTCAAAGTCTAAACTTCAAAATAACAAAAGAGTGTATGAAATAAATTCAAAGTCTAAACTCCAAAATAAAAATTCACAAACACATTAAAATAATAATTATAGTTTAATTTTGGGTGTAGTAAAATAATAATTATTAATTAATAATTTAGTATTTTTATTAGAAAATTAATAGATTTTTCATTTATCATCTATTAGTAAATTAGTAATTCTTTAATGAAATAATTTTTAAGATAACTAGTAAAATATTAAAAAAACTGACGAGCTGTTCGCGAACTTATCAAGTTGAGTTGGACTTTACTTAGCTCAGTTCGTTAAGATATCGAGTTGAGCTCGAGTTTGAGTCAAGTCCATTTTAATCGAGCTTTTACCGAGTTTTGATCTAGTCGAGTTTGAACTGCTCAACTCATTAAGCACCCCTAATCGTATCCATGGTTTCCAATAGCAAACCGCTAACACTATAGCGACCACTATTTTATGGTCGCGCCACTATTCGAAACCAATATTGTTGAATTTAATGGTGGGTAACGGAATCACGTCGATAGCGGTCCGTCGTTCCCGTAATTTAACGGGTAACGATAAATAGAACCGATAACGAGACGCTATTACCGTTTTTCAACTGTTACTATAAAAAATAAAAAGAATAAAAAAAGCTGGAATTCTCAATAAAAAAACACAAAGCTCATCCAGCAAAAATAGAGAATGAAGAGAAAAAAAACTCTGTAAACATAAAAACCAAAAACAAAGAGCACATCAAACAAGACTCACCATTCACGCAAAGATCAAACCAGAGAAGAAATTGAGCAGCAATGGAACAAGTTTCGAATTCCATCTAAGAAGGTAAGAAATTAAGAAAAACAAAAGTTTTCATCCCTAGATCTAATTATCTCCACCACCGATGAATATGGTGGAGTGGACACTATTAAAGAAGAAAGCACGAAAAAACGAGAAGGTGGGTGGGGTGGTTGTTGGGGGAGTGTAGGATTAAAATATTTTAGGGTTTATTGGGCTTAAAACATAATTCGCTCACGTTCCTATTTTCCATTTATAATTTTTAATGGATATATTAATTTGTCATCCCTACTACTTTTTAAAATTTATAATTTAATCCTTAGTTTAGAATATATTTTTTATTTTTTTATTTAATTTAGTCTTAATTTCAATCATTTAAATAATAATGTATTCACAATGTTATCTTTAATTAATTATCTTATTCTATTACCAGATTTTTAAAGTCTTCTATTTAGTTATATATATATCATTTTCACTTAAAAAACATTCAAGTTATTAAAAATAATTCCTTATAATTATAATTATTATATTTTAGGATAAGTTATGCGAAATTTAAAATAATTCACTATCGCGGCACCCGCAATGGCATCCGTTATGTCCGCAATCGCAATAAACACGACGCGACCGCGAACACTATTTAAATCCCTGATCGAATCCTCTTTAATCGAGGTGTTCGTAAGACTTAAAGATTGAGAGACAAAAATTTGAGAGCTAAAACAGCAGTGCAGGGACCTCAGGAATACAATACCCCTTTCGGTTTTTGGAGGTTCTAAGCGAGCAATCTGAAGATCCCCCAACATAAATAACTAAAAATCCAACATTATTAGAAGAGACAGACACGAAACAGTAAAATGGACATGAAGGATTAAAACAAAATCTGCTATGCGAATGATCACCGAGGGAAGTTCATTGGAAACGGCTCTGAACTGTGAGTGCTAAATGGCATATCTGACATGTTGCTACAAAGTTCCACTGTTGAAGAACTCTCAGCTACGTGTAACTCCAATTGTTTATCGAGCAAGCAGGTAGTCTCCTCATGGTTGGCATGATCCCAAGGATGTTTGGAAATCCCTCTTGACCCTTCAAGCTCCAACACCACTTCTCTCATTGTAGGCCGTTTTTCGCCCTTCAATTGAACACATCTCATTGCAAGATTCGCAACAGCATTAAGTTGTTCCATGTTCCCCTCATTTGCGAGTCCAGGCTCGAGAATTTGGAAGAGAGGATCCTGTTGCATTGCAACAATGAAGTAAGAAGATAAGTTCCTTTTGGCATCAGGCCTTGCAAATGACACCGGCAACTGTCCTGTTAGTAGTTCCATTAACACCACTCCGAAGCTGTAAACATCGCTTTTCCCTGTTAGTTGACTTGTTTGGAAGTACTCTGGGTCCAAGTACCCGAGTGTTCCTTTAACTAGAGTCGTTATTTCAGTCTGATCAGCGGGAATTAGCCTCGAAGCTCCGAAATCCGAGACTTTTGCGGTGTACCTTTCGTCCAATAATATGTTGGAAGACTTGACATCTCTGTGAATGATGGGAATTACAGCTGCAGAGTGGAGATAAGCGAGAGCGTTCGCGGTTTCGGCGGCTATCCGTAACCGATCTTCCCATGAGAACGAGCATGCCCCATCAGGATTGTGAATATGGTAGTGGAGGCTCCCATTAGGAACATATTCATAAACCAACAGGGGAACCTCGGTTTCCAAACAACACCCCAAGAGCTTCACGACGTTTCGATGATTGATTTGAGTGAGAACAACAACCTCATTGATGAACTCCTCGATATGGTTCTTGTCAACCATTTTTGACTTCTTCACTGCCACCACTCTACCGTCGCATAGGATTCCTCTGTAAACTGTTCCATTGCCTCCTTGACCAATCACTCGACTCTCTGCGTAGTTTTCAGTGGCCATAGCTAACTCTTGTGTTGTAAAGATTTTTGTGGGCTCACCAGAACTTTCATGGAAAGCAATTCGCTGCTGCAACAATAAACCTCCATTTTGTTGGAAGAATTTTTGTTTGAGTTTGATCAACTTTCTTCTCTTCATGCAAATGTATAAAGAAGGGGTTAGGAGAAGCAAGAACAAGGGACAGCCTATACCTGCGGGATAAATTAATACGAAATGATAGTTCAAATAGGGATAAAATGTTTAGATATCAAATTGAAAAAACCGGAATAATTCAAGAATTAAATCATGCATAAGGTTCTTCTTTTTCTCCCGAAAACAAATCATTATATCCAAGTAGGAGGTTTACCGAGAACAAGCTGCAATGTTGGAAACTTTGAAACCTTGCATTTATATCCACCATCTAAGTTAATGCAAGTCCCTTCGCCTTCACAAGGATTGTGTGGACCCTTACACTCATCGATGTCTTCAAGAATCAATATTCAACATTATGTGTCAGCTGGTAAGTAGACAATTTGCTAGATGTCTCTCAAAATAATATCTTTTAGGGTAAAATACACAAATGATTCCCGATTATAGGGTGTTATTTTTATGAATCCATCGATTATAGGTTGTTGTTTTGTTGAATCTTCTGACTACTAAAAGTTACAAAATAGTGTACTAGATTATTCATACGTTTCAAACTCATCATTCTCCGTTAAAAAATTGACAATAGCCTGAGTTGGACCTTAACCTGCTAATTGAGATATGATAATCATATTTTAATTATGTCTACTGACATCGTCGTTGCGTTCAAACACTGGCTCGACGACGTAATGTTTCAAACACTAGCTCGACTTCATAATGTAAATAAAGAGTCGATCACAAAATACAACTCAAGCGATTATGGGACCAGATTTTATCATATTTCAGTCAACAAGTTAATGTCTAACTCAGACAATCACTAATTTTTTAAGGGAAAAAGGACAAGTTTGGAACATATGAATAGTTGGGTGACCATTTTGTAACTTTTAATAATTGAAAGACTCAACAATGCAACGCACTATAATAAGGGATCATTTTGTAACTTTTAATAGTCGAGAGACTAAATAAAGTAGCACTATATAGTCGAATGACCATTTGTGTAGTTTACCCTACTTTTAAGAATTTAATATGATATGATCCGATTTAGTATTTACATAAAGCCTTTTGACCATGCTTTGAGTACTTCTAACGTGAGAGTTTTAAGCAAAGATTTTTCATACCATCGCATCCTGAGCTGTTATAAGGGTTCCCTTCATAACCCTGTTTGCAATTGCAACGATAACTCCGACCACCATAGAATGTATAGTCCCGGCAGTCGCTGTTTATCCCCTTGCAGGCATAAGTATCCAAACTTTTGTTAGCTGCTTCACAAGTCTCGTCAGCAATAACCCAATCAAGAACCAAGAAGGAATTCTCGATATTCGACGATGAACAATTACGATTGAGATCCGATGCCTTGAACCTGTAGCTCTCTTGGTCCACAATGAAACCGTATCCGCAATTATTAAGAGGTTCGGAGATACGTGATGTGTTGTACAGATCCCTTCTCAAAGAATCTGGAACGAAGTTCTGGATAACCATCTCAATTGTTTTAACACCGACATTAATGGAGCTTTGACAGCAGCCAAACCCAGAGCAAGACCCGTCCATAACTCCCACGAGGTTGTCGTCGCAGAGAGACAAGCAGCCTGTAATGATGTTTCCATCTCGAAGGGATAATAGACCAACGGAGTTACAGCCTGTGACGGTGAACTTGTTTGCAGTGTTGTTGAGAACGAATGGTGTACCGGTCAAGTTGATGCTGGCTTCACTCAAAACTGCAGTTCCATTTGGATGGTAACCTCTGGCATCGATCCTAGGGCTCCTTACACGAGCCTGGTTGTGAGCTACGGATATGTGGACAACCTCGTGCTGCGTAGCTCCCGAGTGTAGGAATGGTTTAGGTGGACTGTAGGAAGCATTACAGGTTATTTCGAAGCCGTGCATGAAACATCCTTCTCCAATACCGAAAGGGTAATCGATTGTGACATTCCCACAGCTCCGTTGGCAGCTGGGCATCGGGTTTACCACCTCGGCTGCTGCCGATGATAAAATTGATGCCAAAACAATAATGCACCATGTTCGAAACCTGAGCAAAGGATGCTGAGATGAAAACATTTGTTTTTGGTCGTATGTTGTTTACTATCAATTGTTATTGATGAAGTAGGCGACCAATTCTTTATTCTTATACTGTTCTATATGCCGTAAGAAAGAAGAGAACATTGGAATTTCAGACTTTCATTGTTTGAAATTTATTATGTTCACACACTCGTTTTCCAAGAAATTTCAACAATTTCTAATTTTTAAAAATACACGTATCTCAAATTTGACTCTTTTTTTTTTGTTAATTTGATCATAAATATTTTTAAGGGTAAAGTATACAAATAGTCTCTGAACTTTTAGGGTACTTGCATTTTGGTCACCCAACTTTTAAAACTTGTAATATAGTCACCGAACTATTAGTTCATCTCAAAAAGGTCCCTCTCATTACCTTCCGTTAGTTTTATATGACGTGGCACAATTCGGATAACCCTCCTTTTTCTTCTTATTCTTCATAAGTTGGCATCTTCCAAATTGCTAGGAAACAGTCCATTGACCTCAATGAGGACTCAATGAAAACAAACAAGCCTACAACCCGGGTGCCTCTGACATATTTGAGATTCGGCTTCAGTGCGCATGAACCCTGCATGTCAAAGTTGGGTTTTGGCGTCTTACTTTGTTTAGCATCGTGTTTATTAACTAATTTTTGTATTCCTTTCATGGATATGGATGTTTCACATTCCTTTCCAAATGACAAAAGTATGCAGAAAATAAAAAATAAAACTCCAACTTCATATTCTAACGACTGTCTTTAAATTTCCATTGTCTATTATTTTTTGAGATCAACATTATCCCAAACATAAAAAATTCATATAATATATGTTATATAGATTTTTGTTCTCTCTCTAAAAGTTGGCTGCTTGGGAAAATGGATCGTTATGAGATACAGGAAGATATCGGTTCAGGGAACTTTGGTGTTGCAAAGCTGGTTAGGGATAAATAGTGGCGAGCTTTATGTTGTCAAGTGTATTGAAATAGGACCCAAGGTTACGTGTTCTTTTCAATGGTCTTCCATATGTTTGCTTTTATATATTATTCACTAAGCTTCAGTGGCCGGAGCAGCATATTAGAGAGTGACCATCATGAAATCTAAGTTTTTTTTCGATTAGTTACTTATTTTACTATCGGTGATCACTCTTAAATTTTTCGTTTACTAGTGAACCCCCACCAAGTTCACAAGCCACGTGAATTATACCATATCGTTTAACTCCGACGATATTCTCCACGACAATAGTATTGAAGAAACCATCTAGACTGACGAAAGCGCCGATGAAAAAAATTAAAAATATCAGATGAAATAAAGAAAAATAGGTAAAAAAAAAAAGAATTACTCAATAGGGCATATGTTGGCGCCTACGATGGTGACTTGAGAAGTGCAATTAATGGATCATTTTTGGTGAGAGAGTAAAGAAACAGTGACAGACTCTTTGTCTTGGGTTTTGATTTGGAACGACTGTGCATTCTCTGACATGGCCTTAGATGGCGCGACGTTTTGGGCTGGTTGGTGGAGCTTGGATGGAGGCTTCAGACAAAATAATGAGTGACAGGGGAATCAAAGGTAGAAGGAGGATGCAGAAGAAGGAGAAGAATGGTTAACCGAAGGTAAAGTGCCACGTCATATTAAAAAGGTCATGTCAGAGTCCTTTTTGGAAATTAACTAAAACTTTGGTGATTGTATTGTCAGTTTTAAAAGTTGGGTGACCAAAATACAAATGCCCTAAAAGTTCAAGGATTATTTATGTCCTTTACTCATATTTTTAAAGGTAAAGTACACAAATAACCCCTCAACTATAGGATGTTTCTTTCTCAAGTCCCACAACTATTAAAAGTTAACAATGATCTTCGATTATAGGGTGTTGTTTTGTTGAGTCCCACGACTATTAAAAGTTACAAAATGGTCATCTGACTTTCATATGTTCCAAACTCATCCTTTTTCGTTAAAAAATTGGCGGTCATATAAGTTTGACGTTAATCTGTTGATTGGTATATCATAAAATCTGATATCGTAACCATTTGCATTATGTCTCCACTATTAATATTTGTGTTGATTTTTTAAAAATATGCAGTTTAAGGTTTTGTGTATTAAGGTTCATGTTCAAATTTGAGTTTGAGGTTTCAATCAAGTTAAATTTAAGATTTTTTTTTCCATTTCGAGCTTTTACGAGCTTCAGTTCATGATTTCGAGTTTGAGACGAGCTTGTACATTTTAGGCTCGCGAATTTTCGAGTCGAGTCGAGCTTCATTTTAGAATCTTCGAGTCAAGCTCGACTAGTTTACAACCCTTATTGGAGTTGAACAATTAACAGTTGAGCAATTTAAATATGCAAAACTTTAATAGTTCGACTAGCAAAACAGGAGCACACTAAACAATGGGTAGCTAAACATGCAATTTATCCTTTTATAATTTTATTAGGGTAAACTATCTATCTGGTCAACCGCCTATTACTTAATTTTTATTTTGGTCACTCTATTATTATTTTTTCTAAAAGCTTATAACCTAATATTACATTTTGGTTCTATTTTGATCATCCTCACGTTAAAAAAATAACAGTGATGTTGACGTGATATTTTTAATTATTTTTTAATACTGACGTGATATTAGATTATAGTGACGCATCAACATCAACATTAATTTTTTAACGATAGTGACTAAAACATGACCAAAAAATAACGTTATGTATGATTTTGATAAAATAATACGAGGGTGATCTAAACAAAAACTAAGTAATAAGTGGGTTACCAAATAAAATTTTACCCATTTTATTAATGCATCAACTTCATAACCGTGGAAAATAATCAAAGATATTTAGCAAAATTGCCAACACGTGTATGGTTCGTTTTCATATGTTCTAGTGGTGGAAAAATCAAAGTACGAGGCTCATAAGGCCAAGGGACAATACACCGATATGGATTTTTCTTTTGCTGGTTTCGGTAATTGTTGGATTAATGCGAAGGAATTTGATAATGATGGATTGAAATTATTGAAGGAAAAATGATAGATTTAATTTTTATATTTTTATTTTTATTTTATTTTTGTATTTATTTTTAATTTAATTTGATAAATGAATTTAATATATAAATAATGAGAATCAAATATATATAATTATATCAATTTTATATATCACTTTAATTTTTTTTGGCTTAAATACACCTTTGCCCCCTAAAATATACCATTTTTACCGAGTTGTCCCCTAAAGTTTAAATTATTACCTCATTTGCCCCAATCTGTTAACTCCGTTAAAAAATATATGGGTAAATTAAATATTTAGTCACTCAACTATTCATATGGTTCTATTTTTGTTTTCAAAATCATCACTAAACTTAAATTTTTGTTTCGTTTTGGTCACCCAATTCGATTAGATTTATTTTTTAAATTTACAATATATAAGAATTCATTTATATCACATATTTTTTTACTCAACACATAAATTTATGGATAATAATAAAATAATATTATAATGTAAATAATGTACAACATATTTAGTTGTTTGTAATTAAAATTTTAATAAAAGAAATATTAAATCAAAATATTACATTCATATAGCTTCAACCTTTCCGCATGTTTATGGTAAATAAATTAGAAGCGATATTCTTCCAATTAAAAGAAACCAATTAAAGCTTGAACATTACTTAACATTTCTGTTTTTGAAGAAGAGAAGTATAATTGTTGGGCTTTGCGGAAGCTCGAATCGACAACCGAAAGGGTTTCCAAAGAGGGGTTGAAACGATTTTTGTGTTTAGGGAGTAAGGAGATTGAAAGATAGAGAATTGCACAGCGATTTATAGTGGTTCTAATTCTCAACCAAGTACATCCACTGCGTTAGCTCCTCACCAAGGATTTTCCAACAAATTCACTAATTTGTTCTTTCTTTTGAGGATAAAGAGATAACTTTTACAACTCCCTAGTTTTTCACGGGCTAAACTAGAACCTTTCCCTAGCTTTTACACGGGCTAAGCTAGAACCAAAACCCCTTTACAATAAAAGGAAATATAAACAAGAAAACCTCTCTAACGTAGGTGTTTACAAGAATTAAGTTCACTAGAACAATATTTACAAGAGAGAATGAAAATAAGAATGAAAAACTTCTTCTCTTGTTTTTGATTGCTTGGATAGTTGTTCTCTCACTTCTTCAAGTGTCCTCAACTTGTATTTATAGCTTGGAATGTGTTTGAAGTCATATAGCCGTTGGGGATGTTTTGGAGCCATTTGGGGATGATTTTTTGCTCAAATAGGCTGCCGAAAACAATGTATCGGTACACTATCAAGGTGTATCGATACCCCTTCATTAAATTCAAATTTCATGACCGTTGGGCTGCGTGAACAGTGAGTATCGGTACACTGTAGCAGTGTATTGGTACACCTTTTACATTCGATTTTTTTGAGCATCGGGTACTGTTCATTACCGTTCATTACTGTTTACACAGTATCGGTACTATTTATACAGTACCGATACTATTCATACAGTACAATACTATTCATAAAATATTTTTGTGCTCAATTCCAAATTAAGTGGACTTTGAATTATTTTTGTAAACTTTGAAAACTTTGAATAAATTCAATTCAAGTCCAAAAACATTTTGTCATAAATTGTTACATCAAAACATAGTTCAAAATAATACCCTAGGCTGAATTTTTACTCGAGTTTAAAAGTAAACCAAAACTGTGCAAATCCTCTATCTAATAATTAGAAGAAAAATATGTTACATTATGATGTAAATCAGGCTACCTTAATCGTTCTATGTCAAGAGATTCAGAGGAAAACATAATAAACTCACCAAAACATTAATTTTTTTTAAAAGTCACGAAAACATTAAAATAAGCAAGAACACATGATTTTTTCGTTGGTGATAACACAAACATCTGCAACATACCCTTTCTTGAAGAGCATGTCCCATGTATCCTTTGTTTCTTTAGGGGCAAAAATACATTCATGAGGCCTCTTGGAATACTCGGTTCTCGTACAAATTTTATATGGGAGAGGTGGTGGTTTTGGAATGTTAGAGTTATCAGATGCAAAGGGAATAGGATCATTCATCACATGTAAAATATCAGCTGGATTTG